GCCAAGATAATTTTTCTACGCGGGTTGCTCCTCCAATTATGACAAATATTTTTTTTGTTTGTAAAATACTGAATCACAACAGCAAAAGAAATGGTATGACTCATTGATTACTAGCTATGTATAGCTTATCTTTTTAATTAGAACCTAACGATGCTTTGTAATCGGACGAAGGAACACCCATTTCACTAGTACCTAATTAAACCTACTGCTAGTAATTTATTTTGAGTTATGAAAGTATATGAAAGAGAATGATTCCCTGTATCAAACGATTTATGGATGTCAATAGCTAACTGTCTAATATATAGAGATTAGCATTATTATTTAAAACTATATATATATATATACACACACATATATAGAGGCAAAATCTTTATTGACTTTACATGGAGATATGAGGTTGTCAAGCTTTGTGCTCAAGCTTTATTTCAATCAATATAAATATAAATATATATATATATATATTATCAGGGCCTAAAGTTTGCGTTACTTGCTTAATAATATAAAACTAGTTTAATGAAAATAATAACATAGCAAAAAGTTCATTAAAATTCTAACACCATTAAAACAACAATAAAACTATAGCAGATCAAACTTAAATTATCTTTGGCTATTAAACAGTCTTTAGTTTTACTTAAAATGTTCAGTCACATACCAACAAAATAAATTATATGGAAGAATACTTAATTAAAATGTTTATGCACTTAAATTAAAATTAAGTTTAATGGTTTCTTGGTATTGAATTTGATACATAACTATCACATTTTATTATTGAAATTAAAAGGCCAATTCAGTGAAATGAATATGTATCAGCATGCTGAAACTTTAATTTCTTTTAAGAATACACAGATTCCTAAACATAATTAATTATAATAAATCTTTAATTTCTTTCTTCACCAAACTGCAATGTATAAGTGTTGAAAACCTAAGCTACATGCAGGAACATTTCCTTCACTTAATTATTTGTACCAACTGCTGCACTAAGCAAAAGTATGTAACCATCAAGTTTAGACTAGTAAGGTTGAGATCAACTGCTGTCAAGTAGTGAAAAAATGTAAAATCATGTCATGCCGAACTTACACAAGGACAATAATAACGGTAAGCTTAAGTTGAGATCTTTAATTTCTTTCTTCCCCAAACTGCAAGGTATAATTGTAAAATGTCATGTCTAACTTACACAAGGACAATAACAACAATAAGCTTAAGTAGAGATCTTTAGTTTCTTTCTTCCCCAAACTGCAATATATAAGGGTTGAAAACCTAAGCTGCATGCAGGAACGTTTCCTTCACTTAATTATTTGTACCCTAACTGCTGCACTATGTAAATGTATATAATCATCAATTTTAGAATAGTAAAGTTGAAGATTAGAATGACTGTCTAGCAGTGAAAAAGTGTAAAATCATGTCATGTCTAACTTACACAAGGACTATAATAATAGTAAGCTTAAGTTGAGATAAGATCACCACCAAAGAAAATTAATTTTTTAACCATTATTCAGTTTCATCATAAAAATAAAATTAGTGAAAATAGCATTTTGGTAATAATAAAAGTAATTAGATTTAAATGATATTGTATCTTTCTTATTAAATTTTATTGAATTCAAAACTAATAAATGAACATCTAATTGTTATAATAAATAAATGATGGAAAAAAATTATAGATTTCTTCATTTCAAGTATCTTGTAGATTTAATTGATGCAAATATACTTATTGGATTAGTCCAAAAATGACATATTTGATCCTTATGTCAATGTTTTTATTTAACCCGATTATAGTATTTTGATTTTAGTGTTGTCTTTGTGAAAATCAGATAAAGCAGGTAAAGGTTAAGTTGTTTTTGTTTAAAAAATTGTGGCTTAACCTCAATCAATATCTGCTTTTTTTCTTCTTGATTTTTCTTTTTTCTTTGATATCACTAAATTAAATAGCTTTTCTTATCAATTTGGAAAGAAAAATCCACTGCAATCTTTTAATATTTAATTACCCTTCTATTACTTTCATTTGTAAGGAATGGAGTTGGATTAGTTATCTGTTTTAATCTAATTAACCTTTGATCAAAATGATTGTAATCATTTGATTTTTATTGCTTTTCTGATTATCAAGTAATAAGCTTGGCAATTTGTTTTCGGTCAATTTTTAGTTTGAGATTTGATTGCAGATTGAGCTATAAATAAAGAATCAAAATTGGAATGGTGATGAAAAATATTAGGAATTGGTATGCAGATACCTTGATTGAGATTCTCCTAAAATTGCCTATCAAATCTATTTTTCGTATCAAGTGTGTGGCAAAAATTTATTAATTAAAAATTATAGATTTAATTGTTCAATGGAAAATATATATAATATACAATCCTAAAACTCGAATGATGCAAAAAAAAATTATAAATTTCTCATTTTCAAGCAACTATTTAGGGTTAGTTTAATATTGTTTTTGTTGTTTAAAAATTTAGGATTAAAAAATGTGTATTTAAAAAGTGTGATAAAAATGTGATTAAAAATTTTAAATATTAATATTATTGTAAAAAATTATTGTGAGTAATTAAAATATTTAAAAATATATGCATAAAATAAAATTAATATTTAAAATATAGATAATATAATGAATTTCATCCTAAAAAACCTTTCCACTCAAAATTTTTTTATTATTTAACAATATGTTTGGATCAAAAGCAGTTTTAATCTAAAAACTATTTTCAGTAATAATACTAAACAAAATCTTAATTAATATAATATACTTACCGGATTAGTCCACATGCTCCTAGTAAACACTTCGATAAATTAAATATAAAATGTCTGTTGATTTTAATTTCCTTTCTCTTTTTCTTTTGATTCAATATTTTTACTATCATTTTTATTAGGAGAATTATTAAAAAATTTTAATGTATTCCATTCATAATTACAATGATTGGTAAAGAAAATTATAATTACATCAGTGAATGTTTTAGATTTATATATATATAACTTTAGATCAAAATTTAATTTATAATTAATTTAAATAAAAATAATAGTTTTAATTTCAACCATTTTAATTTAAGACTAAAAAAACGTAAAACTTACGCAAATATATGTAAATTTCTTTTCAAATTTCTATAGAGATCAATTTGTAATTAAAAATAAATTTATTCAATTGAAATATTTAATATAAAATTCAACTATATATTATGAATTAAGATTTTGAGGTTGTAATTAAATCACGAATCAAAAATATGTTTTAACTCTTGAAATTAAATTTGTAAAATTAAAGCTCTTTTTTAACTAGAAAAACGACCGATTCATACTTATTTTTTAAATAGAAAACATGTGTAATCATCATTTTAAATCAAATGCTTCGAGCATTTACACTAATTTAATTTCTTTCAATTTTTTTGTCTTTTATAATTAACTTTTTTCGTATTACATAAAGTAAGAAAATATGCTGTCAAGGATTCAAGGTAAACTAGAACTTTTGAAACTAATCTTTTATAATAATAATCTTAACAAAACCGGAGCTTTTGAGATTAGAAAAACAAAAAAAACAAAAAAACAAAATTGTGTTCTTTAATATATGCATTCGATTACATTAAATTTATTACATTTATTTTTTTAAATATCCAATATTTTTATCTTGATTATCTAAATAAATTATAATTAGTTTGATCAATAATACAAATAAAATAAAAAACTAATAGGATATTTCCATATATTCTAATTAAGGCATTGGAATAAGTTTTTTAAGCATTCTAATATACGATGCTATAAAATATATATTAAATTATTTTTTAATAGAAATATTATCAAATTATGAGAAATTATTTGATAAATTAATAGTAGAGTTTTTTAATTTCACAAACAAAATTAAAATGATAACACATATATCATTTTTTTAAAAAATTATTATTTTATTTTTTAAAATATACACTAAAAAGATATTTAGGTCTATTGTTGGGGTGTATGTAAGAGGGGAACTAGATGTCTTTGAGGATGGCTTCACAATTTTGACAACATGTCTAACAAATCAAGTGAGTTAACCCTCATGTACAAGTTTATTCATTTAATTTACTTTTATTTAATGATTTGTATATGTTTAGAATTGAAATTATGAGATTTTAATGTCCAGCGATTTACTTGAAAACTATCACATTTTCTGATAAGTGTATGACCTCATCAAAAAATTATGGGCAATTCTATTTGAATCACACATTTATATGCATGTTGGATTCTGGAATAATTTATCTGGGTTGCTGAATTTCTCATTATCTGTGTTTTGGAAGAATTGATCAGCATAAATAAATTTTATGATTATTTTTTTTTAACAAATAATATTTTTTGTTTACAACTCTTAGACAGCATTATTTAAATCCTAATTTTTTTTTTAATGTTTATGTTTCATTTAAGCTGACTATCAATAAAAATTTTTATTTAATATTGAAAAAGTTTTTTACACACAATGGCCATTGGTTCACATTAGGAGTCAAAAAAGTAAAAGCAGTATCTCTTAACATGGTAACAAATCGTTGTTCTCGTTCCAGCGCACCAATTTGTAAGTTTCCTTTCCTTAACTCAATTATAGTCTTTTTGGTTGAAGTGTTACGGCCACACGCACATAGTTTTGTCCATGAAATCCCGACACGGAGGTAGGTGGTATCGTGTGTAAAATTGTGGCTTACCCTTTATTAATACCTACCTGCTTTTCTTCCTTTTTTTGTTTTTTCTTTCAATGTCAAAGCAGCTTTCTTATTAATTTGGAAAGAAAAATTCACTCAGATCTTTTATTTTTTGGGAATATTTCGTTACATGTAAAAGCAGTCTTGTTTCATTTTTATTTGTTCTAAATCAAACTTTAATCAAATTGACTGTAAGTCTCTCTATGTTTCTAAGTTTTGGTTTTTTATTCCTTTATTGATTGTCAAAAATCTTGTGTGGTTATCAATTAAACTTAACAATCTGTTTTCTCTCAATTTTCAGTTTGAGATTTGTTGGCAGATTAAGATATTAAGAAAGAATCGGAGTTGGATTAATGTCAATGAACAATGGTGATTGGCCTGCAGATATGTTGATTGAGATTATCTTGAAATTGCCCTTCAAGTCTATCATTCATTTCAAGTGTGTGGGAAAAACTTGGTGTGATCTCTTTCAAAATCCCTGCTATGTTACTCATCATCTTAGTATTAGCAAAAAGAATAAACGTCTTCTTGTTTATTATCACGATGACAACAATGATAATGTTCTTATGCGTTTGTTTGTTGATCAAAAGCTTGTTTCTTACCATGATTTGCATCAACAATTGCCTTCACATATTTCTGATCTCTATGTTTTTGAGCTACGTGTGGATAATGGTTTAATTTGTTTATGTGATGCATACAATTGTCGCATAACTCTTATGGAATCCCGCCACAAGAGAATTCAGGATTCTCCCTGCTTGTAATCCAAACATTCCACCGAAGGTAGAAACTTATACACATATTCTTGGATTTGGATTGGATCCTTTGTCCAATGATTACAAGGTGATTTATATGCCGTATTATCTGGATATTGTACGACCACCTCCACCTCGCTATGCCGTTTACAGGATGAGCACCGATTCATGGAGCGTATTGAAAGAGGAAGATGTTCAGTTCTTACCAGACCTACCTTTTTGTTGCAGCTCCGATAACGAATGTGTAAATGGTGTTTACTACTGGACATGTTCAAGTTTGGCTCTGACAGAAAGATCCTTGCATTTTATTTGAGCACTGAAGTTTTTCAATTGATGGAGTCATCTTGTCCTAAATCTAGTGGGAAGTTGATTCCATTAAATGATCGTATATCTTTTTGGGATACTGAGATGAGGGATAAAAGTGATAAAAGTAATGAGGTTTGGGTGTTGAATGAGGATGGGCAGTGGACCAAACTTATGAAGATTAAACCTATTTTTGAAGTTGAAAGGATGTTCGGGTTTTGGATCAATGGTAAGGTATTCGTAGAATCAGGAAGTGGACAGTTATTGCTTTATGATCTTGAGAATGAGGAATTCAGCGAGCTTGGTATTAAAGTCAAGGAAGGTGGAGAAGATCTTCTTCAGGTTTACAGTTATGAGGAGAGTCTTCTTGTTATCAAAAGAGTGAGTTATTTGTTTTGGTTTATACAATGTTTTCAATTTTCTCAAATTGTTGTTAAGGACATGTTTATGCTTGGTTAGTAGAAGAGGATTTTCTGACTTACAAGCCTTTGCTTTTGAAACTGCATTTAGTTTTTCAATTATTTCATTGCAACAGGGTGTATTTTTGTCCCATTTTTCACGTGCTTAGCATACAGAACCTCTTGGATCATGGGTTGTACGCACAGAATTTTACAAGAAAAAACGATTTCTGGCCTAGGGGTGAAAGTAGATTGTTCCTAATGTAAGCAACAAAAACAAATTTGAGCACTTGTCGATGCATGGCGGAAAATTTTTAATGTTCAGTTTAAAATAGCTGAATGATCCACCTCATCTCTTTCGATTATCCTTTCAACTGAAACCTTTTATTACTGGTACCATCAAATAACAGCCAACCCCTTAGAGAGCAGTGATTCTTTTTTTTTTTTCTATGGTAAAAGCGGGTAAGGCTAAGTTTAAACACAAGCCTGAATTTGAACCCAGATCTTGCAGGGTCATTCGACCCGAAGAGACTCCAGTCATTGGGCCGAAACCTGCAGCTTTATAAAGCAATGATTTGAGGAGAATCAAATATAAATTCATGCAATGTTTTACAAATTACTAATTGATTATTGCATACCAGTATTCTATGCCAAATGCAGGAAACTACAAGCAACATTTCAATACTTGCATGCCTGCATCATGCATTCATCCATGATATCATCAGAGTTAAAAAGCTGTAAATCACTCAATTAATCAAAATTTTCACTTTAGATGATAAATGAAAAATGGTTCACAAAATCCTTCATTACAAAATCCCAAGCACTACCACTTTGATGAAAACAAAAATTTGGCAAAGCATGATGAAAGCTAAACTGTTCCAGTAATCCTAAGACCTTGGCTTCTCCTTCTTCTCTTTGAAAAGAGCTAGAAGAGACAAACCAGATACCTTAACAACCTTGAACCTGACTCCAGGAATATCTCCCACAGCATGCCCTTTTCATCCAAATCCTGCAATAAAAACCTCATCCTGCACCAAATCAAATCAAGCATGGCATCATGCAACACTTAAAAGGAGACCCTGTTATCTACAGCAAGTTTTTCACAATTTTCTTTAACTAACAAATCATACCAACAGACAAAACATCCCAAAGACTGAGAAATTATGAACATGGATCAGTGAAATTCTACTCGATAAACTTTAACCAAAGACAAAAACATGGATCAAGGATCGGAAGAGTTATGACAAAAACCAGAAAATTGTGTATAACTTACATTCTCCTCAATGTAGTTTAAGCAACTATCATTGGGTGTAAAAGCAGCAATTTTCTTCCCATTCTTGATCAGATGAACACGAGCACATTTTCAGATAGCAGAGTTAGGCTGCTTAGCTTCAATGCCACTGCAAATGCCACTAACAAAATTGTCAAGTTCTGCATCAAATTCAAGCGTGATCTACTAGATCAATACCCTTAACACATCATCAAAAGCATAATTTAGTTCTAACATTTTCTCAAGAACTATGCCTTTGGCATGTGATGATCCAGCAAATGGTTTCTTCCGTTCATTTCCCAGATTGGACTTCTCATATGCCTTGTCAGCCCACCTCTGCCTCCTGCAGTGGGTTCTCAACTTACGACCAGCTCCCATTCCACGAGTCTTCCTGCTCAAAACTCCCACTTTGTCAGCATATTTCCCCAAAATACAACACAGATCACTTTATAAAGGCTTATCTACCAAGCCAAATCATCAAAATGGATAAACGAAAAATGAATTTCGTTTGCACGACACCAATCGTCAATATACATATGCATTACCATATAAGGTAAAAAGTCCACGAATATAAATAACCTAACCCGACCCAATGGTTCAAAAGTTCATTAACCATCGTTTCGTAAGTTTCTGTCTACAAATCCTGAACAACAACTACGATAATAAATTCGTCACATTCCATTTCCTTCTTCAATAATTTCCCCATCAACCAAACAGTTAATTAAAGACATTTTGACCCATAAATTCCACAACTTTATCAACAACCAAACACACCAGAAATCAAACACACCAGAAACAAAAGGAAAAGAGAAAGCATTATTGACCCGCAAATCATCTAATCATATAAACTAGATCTTAACGACTACTTTACTGAAATAAACAAAGCAAAGGGCAATCACGAAATGATTCACAAAGCTAGCATTTTTCAAATGCAAGGATCAAAATGAAAAGAACAAAAAATAACACTTTTTAGAAAAATAAAATTAATATAAGGAAAAAACCTAACCCCATTTTTGCTCGTGCGAGAAAAACCTTACTGAGACTGAAATATCAAAGTAAGAGATTGAGAAGACAGGAAGTGCCGGCTGCTGCAAATTGTAAATTCTAATCCTAACAATTGATCTAGCTTTATATATGTAGTTTAATTTGAGAGCTTTTTTGCAATTTTTTTTTCTCTTTGAACTTTTTTTTCAAAATTATTTTTAAATAAAATTATTTAATTATTTTTCCCTTTTTTTCTTTTCACTCTTTTTTCTTTTTTTATTTTTGGATTTATAAATCGTGAAATTTTTAAAATCTCAAAATTTACAAATTTAAAAACTTTTAAAAGTATCGAATTTGGATATTTGAAAGTTTAAAAATTTCTGTTTCAAATCATTGAAATCAAGAATAATTTAAAAATTCACATTTTTTATCTATTAATTTGTAAATGACCTTATAATTATTTTAAATAATTTAAAAATTCACATTTTTTGTCTATTAATTTGTAAATGACTTTATAATTATTTTTTGTCTATTTTAAATAATTCATTCTATATGAGATTTTTTTTTCTCAATTTAATTTTTTTCTAAACCTAAAATGTAATTTTTTAAAAAAGTTTATCATGTATGAAAATCTAATAAGTTATATAAATTACCATATATGCGTATTCAGTAAATTAAAAAATTTATTGGACATGATATTCAAAAACTTTAAATTTAAGATGAAAAAAATAATTAAATAATTTCACTTAAAAATAATTTTGAAAAAAAAGGTGAGTATAGACAAAAAAAATAAGATTGTAAACTAACAAATCATTAATAACTAAATGTATAACTTTAGTTAATTTGTTTATTTTTAAAGGTACTTGGACTCAAATTGTATTTGGTAAAAAAATATTTTATTCATTCAAACTTAATTCATTTAAATATAAGATATTCGTATTCAATTTATATTTATTTTGATTAAGTTAAACAAGTTTATTTATAGATATTAAATGAATATATTCATGAACATATATAAATGAAAATATTCATAAATAATAAACAAATCATAACTAAACAAATTTAAGTAAATAAACCATAAACGAATATAAATAAATCTTAAAATAAGATTAAGATAACAAATAAAAATATAATTTTGTTAGCATTATTATAAAATAAATAATAAATAAATACTCAACAACCAATAAATAAAAAAGTTTTAAATAAATTTTAAATTAATGTGTTCACGAGTATAAATAAATCAAATATATTTTTAATTGTATTTGATTAGTTTAATAAAACAAATAAATTCAAAATTATTTATTAAACTTAATAAATAGATATAAATAAATAAAAATCAAATATGTTTACAAACAATTAATTTAAAACTCTCTTCATTTATACTTATAAAAAAATTGGAAGCGCAAATAAAAACATTCTTTAATTTCAGAATTTATACTGATTTGATGAAAATAGAACCCTAATTTCTAATAGTATTACCAATTTGTCTTATCCTGAATTAATGGTTGAATTTCAAAAGTTTGTTGGATTCCACGTGTTCAAGAAATATTAAGGTTCAAGAATTTATAAAACTTTTTTAAATAAATTTTTTACATTTTAATATTTTTTAGTTGTGCAATTTTAATTTTTTTAACGTTTTTACTTTTTTAAATATAAAAATTTATTAGGATTTGAATTATAAAAAATTCTCTTTCATTTTATATTTTTTTGTAATTAAAATTTACATTCTAGCTCAAAAATTTATATTTCTTTCTTTTTCAATTGGTTTAAATAAATTTATTTATGCTGTTTTTCTCTTTCTATTCTTATTTAAATAAATTTATTTACATTCTAATCTAAAAATTTTTATCTCCTTCTCCTCTTCAACTAATTTTTTAATCGATTTAAATAAATGTATTTATTAATTTTAAATTTATTAATTTTCTCTTTCGATTTATCCTTCTCTTCTTCGATAGATTCAGAAAATTTATTAACACCGATCTTCACTATCTTAACAAATTTTGAAAATTATTTTTTTTATAACTTTTTAACGAATTCCCAAAAAGCAATGAAGAAAAGAACCTATTTTTTTATCACTTATCTCATTTCGTACTTCAAAAGTCGAAGCTTTAAATCGATTGTCACTTTGTATACACCCTCAAGTAAGAACGATAAAAAAAAAAATCAAATCGGATTCAATTTAGTTATCTCAATTTGATTATTTCGATTAATGCCTGAAATCATTGTTTGTAACGATAATTTTTTATTCAACAAGCTGAAAAACATCTAACCTGCATGCAATTGTTGTTTGTAACAAAAAAAAATTAAAAATAAATACTACACAAATTAAGATCTAAAACAAACGCAGCAAAAGTTATTTTACCAGCATACAAAAATCTTAGCATTTGCTATCCAACTAATACATAAATGGCATATACTATCCCTGAAATATAACCCAACATTGTCAGCAGCACATCTATCCAGAATTCCACCTGCCATTCCAAAAGTTTATATAATATTAGAAAAAAATTATATATTGAGAATTTTATATAATGCATCATTATTCTCATTCCAAGGAACCAATTTGTAAGTCTCCCTTCATTAACCCAATTGTATTTTTTTTTTTGTTTTATTTTAGTGTTGGGCCACAAGCACATAATGTTCTTCTTAAAATCCAGGCAGTGTTGGGCCACAAACACACAGTAGTCTTCATCAAATCCTGACACAGAGACGGATGGTTTAGTTTGTAAAATTGTGGCAAACGCTCTATCAATACCTGCTTTTCTTCGTATTAATTTTTTTAATGTCAAAGTAGGTTTCTTATTAATTTGGAAAGAAAAATCCACTCAGATCTTTACTTTTGGGGAATATTTCATGTCATGTAAAGGCAGTATTGTTTGTTTTCATTTGTTCTTAATCAAGCTTTGATCAAATTGA